GGAGATTGTTTTGTCAACTGCTTTTTTAAGTTTTAAAACATTTTATTTAGATTCTTGTTTTGCTTGAAGAAAAATTCTAAAACCAAAGTATATATATATATATATATATAAAAAAGTCTCATTTTCATAACTGCACAAAACTTGGAAATTGTACTGTCACCATTTCACAGACCAATTTCAACATTTGTCAAACTCTGGTTTTGATCCAGACACATCAGCCATAAAAAGAAACCATTAGCACTGAGCCTTCACTCTCAGTTATTTCCACACCAAAAACATTTTTTAAAAAGGAGCCAGCCGGATGCATACTGGCTGTAGATGGAAAGAGAAAGTGGCTGAAAGAAGATGGATGGTTGGGATACATTCACAGCTCACATCTGGAAGCCTTTATGGCCAGAACCCTCCAATTTCCTCCACTGAGGTTTCCCCTCGTTGCTGCATAAAAAAGAAACTAAATATGTAGCCGGCTTACTAGCCACAGTATATCCTTGCCCAGTTGACAATAAAGCCTCACATTACTGTACAGCTGACACACACAAACAGCAAACGAGCACTATTATGTAATGAGTCCTAATCAATCCAGATGATTAGGTTCTATTGACATGTTGAGCCACAGCGTGTTCATTCATTAGCATACGCTGCTAAGCTGTGTATGTTTGTTATCTGTGTGTGATTTTCGGCACACTGAATCTGTGTGTGTGTGTGTGACAGACAGACAATCAATCACGACTGTTTGTCCACCACTGCCTCGGCTCTCCACATGTTTACTGAAGACACAGAGTCTCTGTGTCCTCAAGAGAATGAAAGAGACGGAGAGATCAGCTCACCTATGTCAGGATCCCTTATTTAGCACTGCTAAGAAAGTCATCCACCGCTACCCAACACATAACAATGGTGTAGGAGCAACAAAAAGACTTTCTTCGAAAGTACTGAAGTCACTTTTGTGCAGTAGTATCAGACTGAAAACTACTAGTATTAGAAAAAACTTATTTCCAAAATATCAACACACACAGCTAAAGCCTATTTTATCACAGATGTATAAAACTATTTAAAAGTTTGATACAGGCTTTTTTAACTCAATCTGCCAACTGTTGCATTAATGTTAAAATCTTCCTAGGATAACAGCTGTAATCCATTTGTACAGAAAAACTGCCAACTTTAGGACTGAGTATGGTTGATACTGGCAATGGAATTACAAAATACATGGTGCAAGGTTGACAAAAGTTACTTCATTTTGAAATGCTTACAGGATACAGACTCTGCAGGTTTGTTTAAAGTGGAATATCACCAAGGCCTGTGGCTTGTGAAAACATTACCATTCAGAAATATTCTCATATAAACACCATAACCCCGTGACGTGCCCTCTCTCTTCAGCTGAGAAACTCTTATGCCAAATCCCATCTGAAAACTTGACATTTCTTGTTATGATTGCGGGCAAAAGATATATATACACACTGGACACAACATTTTAAATCTCTTCAGGGAGCAGCCAGTTGTGTTGAAATGTTCGGCCGCCCTCATTCACCAAGCTGCACTTTGTTTCAAAAGAAATATGAACTTATGAGGCTGATGTGCACCGCAAGCTACCGCCCACCGTGCTCTATTTTGTTGTTAAGAGCTTGAGGAAATATAAGCAGAGACGTTTTTACGATTGAGCTTTTTCCTTAAGTGAAAACTACTTGGCTGCTGTTTTATATGCTGCAGGCCAACGCGATGACACCAATAATGGTGTAATACAAGTATTGCGACATTAATGAAGGCAACATTAAAATGTGTATTAGTTTTAAGGTGGGTTTAACGTTCTCCACCATACTCGACCTGTCGGGGTTCAACCAGCAGTACTATAACTTTGTTACCATTCAATCTTCACCCTCACTTTAACACTCAAAAAACAATTCCTGAAACGCCTCAGGTGTCATTAGCTATGAATTCATGATAAGTTGCCTGAAGGTGTGCCTCCGGTTCGCGTTACCGACGGACGGGACTGGTCCTGTCCACTCCTACACCGGGATACGCTAGCAAGTAACGCGGGCCTTTTTCTAGTCAACCCGAGTCTAAACGAAACCCAAATAACCTTTGAGGACTATAGGCCAAAACAACGGGATAATATGAATGTAATATGGTTGCAAACTCACCCTCTAAAAGCCGGGAAATCAGCGAGTCGACGTCCAACTCCCCCTCCGCCATTTCTGTAACGAACAGCTCTGCCCGCCGCAGTCTGGAGCTGGCAGGGCAGGCACCGCCTCACTGCACTGAAACGCACCGCCAACCTCCTCCCACTCACGGGCCTCCCATTTAGGACTATTATGCTGCGTTAAAGTTCCCCTCGGATATTCGAGTTCCTATCACAGAGAGGAGGAAAGTGGAGTTTATAATTAGCCATACATGAAGTGATAGTTACACCCTGAATTGTTACGACAATCACTCAGTAGCTTTTTCTAGAGCTTTCGACCGCATCTCTCAGTCTTCCTCTGCAGATTTCAAACTCAAACAGTGTTTCCAAAGTCAAGAATGAACCTTCAAGCTCATCTCTAAAGTAATGTCCGTGTAGCATTTACAGATTATATTTTCCTTCCTTACCTCAGCCATTGCTTTCCATTCATTTCCAAACTCAATAAGTGGTCTCTTGGGACTTACTGGAGGGTAAAGTAGCTTTTGCTTAAAACCCACCATATTTTATAGTGTGTGTCAACCATCTCTATAACATAATGGAATATAATATCATTGTCAGGTTATTTGTAAAATTCAAAGTATCTACCTAGGTTATGATTCATCTAACTGAAGTCATAAAAGAATTGTTTATGTTAATATGAATAAATAAAGTAAATAAAATGCATAATATATTTGTGCATGGATGTTTTAATTTATACAAAACAACATAGATGCAACCGAATGAAACGGTTCATCAAGAACTGAGGCCTTTTCCCAGCATGCCTTCAGCATTGACAAACCGACCTCACTGCATTACTTTACACTGTGGGAGGAAACTAGAGCACCCAAATGACCTGCATACAAACAGGGTGACAACAATGATACTCAATACACAAATGTAATGGACAGTTCCCTATCCAATTCATTTTAATAATTCATTTAGTTATTTTCTCAAATTGTAACTGTGATTTCTGACAGCACCTGAAGGCATCAGTATAGCCAAGGCATTTGCAACAGGTTACTGTAATAAATTATTAATAATAATAATAGTAATAATAATAATAATTATAAATAGGGCTACTTGAAAATATGTAATAAACTCAGCTGACAACTCTTCTTTGAGTTTTGGTCATAATATGAAAAGCTGTGCAGATATTATTGGTGTTTATGAAGTACTTTTATGGACATTAAAGTAAACCTGAAATGAATAAAACTGTGTAAAAGATACTTACTTACTTACTTTACTAAATATAAAGAGACCTAACTGAGGCCCACTCACTGTATATTGTCAGGTCGGGGGACAAATGCTCAGCGCTCGTAATGAGAGGAGATCAGGATTTCTTCACTTACAGCGCCCTCTCCTGGTTGGATTGTGGATTTTATGATCTTTAAAGTTTTTTGATGAACAGTTTTAAGGACTGTTTTGTGAGTTTAAAAAATAAATAAATAAGGGAATTATCTTAAGTTGATCAAATAAAGAAAAGAAGAAAACATATTTTCCCTTATAAATAAGAGTTGTTTATTGTCAGTGTCAAACCCTGGAAGACTGAACCTGCAGTGTAGGTCAGTGTGTGAAGGATCTGGTACATCACACACTGACAGTTTACAGAGAATGAACTTGGGGACCAGAGCTGGGTTCGGTGTAGGACTCTCTTCCAGGTTATGACTCACGAAACAAGTTATGTTATTGCCTCTCCCACTCACAACTTATTTTTCTGTTCCTCTCAAGTGCGTCATCTGGGTATTTCCGCACTGTTTTGAGTGGGTGGTGGCAAGCTGCACTGCAGAGGCCAAGGGGTGCAGCTGTGTCAAGCTAGCCAGAGGACCACACCGGAAACTGGCCACTTTTCTCTTCAAAATAATAGCCTCGAGTTGCTGTGAAAACATGAGAGCATTATCATTTCATTATTACTGTAAATATTAACCATGACTACTGTAACTTAGAATACTCATGTATAAGTGTAGGCTAAGTTTAGTATAAATGTATACATTTCCCACTGACTAACATGCACACAACTGCCAAAATGAATGACCCCTACAACCCCAGCACTATGTCCTAAAATAGACTTTCTATAATGAGCCTGTGTAATATTATCTCTAATGAGAACCACAGAGACATGAACTAACTATGAATTACATTGTAGTGTATGCAAGGCTAAACCTTTGAACAGATGTTTTCTTAAAGTTATGATTTAGTTTCATTAAAGATCTCCCATTGAGACACATGGACAAATACCTGCTAGGAACAAAATGTGTTGGAGACGTTTTCTCAGCAAAAAAATTCACATTAAAATGATTAGAAATACATCTACTCACCCTACCTCAGAGTCTATGAATATGCAAATTAATTTCATTTCTAAAGTTTCCCTGCTGGACACAAGATGTCTCCTCCTTCTCTGCAAAGTCCATTCTCAGTGGATGTGCACTGGTGGCCTCAGGTTTCTACATCACACTGTACAAGTTGATACTGGACCAGGACTGACTTCCAAATTATTTGTGATGTCACAAATAATGCTGGTAGGCCCCGCCCCATAAAAATCTGATTTTCAATGAGCACAGAGAAACTTTCCACTTTCAGCAGATGAATGTGAAAAACTGTGCACACACATCCATCATTCTGCACAGTGAAGATCAAACAGCACACTGCAGGAACAAGAAGAAAGCTGATTTTTATTATTGGAGGGGGGCTTTAACATAATTGATACAGACTTGAAAAAGGTATATTCTCATATATTTGTCCATTTCAAATAAATAAGCAGAAGCCTATAATTAGAGAACACACACGGTGTCATTGTGCTTCTGCACTGCTCCTACCGGAAGCGGTGTATTCTGTGTGCGTGTAGCTTTACTGTCACTCTCGTACACAGTAGGTGGAGCGAAGAAGGCGACAGAACATCTCTGTCAAGAAGTTTTTAGAGTCCACACTGTCGCCTTTGCAGCGTCTTTTAGCTGAAAAACAAAGTCGAGATAAACGGCGGTGTAGACGGAGAAACGTGAGTCGGACTCGGACACGGCCATGGAAGGTGAGTGGAGCCAGATTTATTGTGCTCGGCCTGTTCACTCAGCCTGGAGAGGAGAGGTGAAACTGTACGGGGAGTTGTTTTGCGCACAGGGGAAAGCCCCGCTAACATTTGGCTTTAGCGCTAACAGGATGAGTGTTCCCGGACAGTAAGCTATCGTACAGTAGGAAGTTTGCCGTACTTTAATAGCCTGTCCCGGCGGTGACCGGGTGAACTTTGCTGTTAGGTTGCTTGTATTCCTCCCTGTGTGTAGCTAGCTCACCTGGCACGGGTGAACCAAACAGTGTCGAGCTGCCAAGAGGCCTGTTGGTTTAGTCCACCTATGGATTTCCCTGTTGCGACCGAAAACTCGTTCAAAAACCAGTCAATTTATGGGTCATCTGTCTATTTAGGGAAATATGCGAGTTATGAAGCACATTCTAAAAGTATGACTGTCATTGTGAATAACTTTTCTTGAGTTCGGTTAACATGTTACCCAGCAGGTAGCGTTCGTTTCAATTAAATCTGTCCTGTTATAAATGCCCCACGCAGCTCGCAACCGCCCACCTCGGTGTTGGTAAACGGAAATTATGGAAATAACACAGCTTACTTTCGCACGTTGTGGTGAAGTACGAGCTGCTTAGTGGGACGTGTATGCCGATGTGTAGAGTCACTTGTGACTATTGTAAAACTGCCAATGTTTCTATTTTATATCACGTTTACCTGTCCATGCAGGCTAAAGAACAGTATTAATACGGTTTTATAATGGAGTTTTGGTACATTATTAGCTTTCATTATACATATTAAGTTTCCAAATCACAGGCCTCCCAAAATAGACACTGTTACATACATGATATATCCGTGTCTGTAATATGGAAGAGGACAGTGAAATTGATTATCAAAGATCAATATTATTACAAAAAGTCAACAATGTGTGACAAACAATAATAAAATAACCCGTAGAGGCAGTGAGGTCTTTGTGTGCAATTAGAGGAAAGTGACTCACACCCTGTCTTGGATGCTTCAGTTATGTTTTGATGTAAGCACATTCAGTGATCTCTGAAGGCCTAATTGTAAGGATGTGGTAAACACTTTCACTTTCAGACTCAATAAAGAGTTAACTCACATTAACTTACATAATATAATGTTGAATCGTGGGGCTTGTTTCACCCTTTTCACATTCATCACTGTCTGGACAAACGCTAAAAGACAGACAGATACCTCTCCCCACATTCTGTACGGTTGGTCTGAGGCTGGGAAGCAGGCATGTTACAACTTGGGAAGCATCCTTTCCTAATTGAGCAAGTCCTACTAGCTGATGGGTGGCGCTTCGGCTACCTGATCCTTTGTCACACCTCGATTCCTTCTGTGAATCTCAACAATTCATTAACCAAGCACCTGAAACTAGAGTGCTGCCTGCTCCTCGCCCACAATGGAGGCTCTATGCTATAAAGCGCGTAATTTGACACCGATATTATTAGACCCTGCCCGTCATTGTTTGCTTTATTCTGCACTTCTTCTTCTCTCCGAGCTTGGCAGGCAGTTTATGACGAGCAATTATATTTAGCTGGGAAGCCCTTGTCTCTCAGCATCCTTTGACCTCTTTGGATGCTGAGCCGTCTTGTAGATTTCCACCCTGACCACACTGCAAATGACAAACTCTTACTAAACCACAAATATGTGCTGAAAGCTGCTTTGGCTTTGTGTCATCCGCGCTGCAACCGTGTGTTTTGTTTCATGTACTGTAGATGGTAATCTACTAATCTCTCTAAGACTTTGACTAACAAGTGGTCCTTGCTTTCTGTCCACAATAGGTGTGTATGGATGGAGCCTGAACACCCTCAACCCAGGTAAGAATCAGTTTCCCGTAGGTAATCAGTGCTCTGCATAAATCAGCACTGATACTGACTGTAGACTTTTCATGAGTAAACATTTCTGCACTCTGTGTACTGATGATTGATGACACAGCTATTTCTGTGTTGACACACGGACTCAAGTGAAGCGGTGTCGACAGTGTTTCACAATCTGGATACTGTGTGTTCTCCAAAGCACTCTTCTTCTCTCGTCCATCAGTTCAAACGGGGAACCCCTTCATAGAGATCATCGAGCAGCCGAAGCAGAGGGGGATGAGGTTCCGGTACAAGTGTGAGGGACGTTCAGCCGGCAGCATCCCCGGAGAGAAGAGCAACGACACCACTAAGACCCACCCAGCCATCAAGGTGAGCAGGATGCAGAGCATGGGGTCTGGCTGTGGTCCATTCAGTACAGCTACAATTACATAATAGGCATAAGTACTTTGGTTTAAGTTTAGGTAAACATATTCTTTACCACTATACTACCATACTAATATAAAATATAAATAAATCTGCTGACTATGGGACGGATCAGGGCTGTATCCAACTAGATTATCTTTAAGAACTGCTGATTTTTGATTTTCTTTTCTGAACAGACAAAAAATAGGCAAATTGAGACATTAATGAGTCCAAAGGTTTTCAGAAAAATTTACAAAAAACAATTTACTTTTTGTAATATTTTGTAAAAATTAAAAGTCCTGAATAGAGGAAGGTCTCTTTTTACTAGCCTGGTGTGGCTACATGTTTTGACAGTTGATTTTACTGATACCTGATTGATTTGTTATTCGATAGGTACAAATTTTTATACAAGTAATATTCATACTATGTTAAGTAAACAATATGATAGAATTCTCATCTTTGCTGAGCAAGAGTATTTTACAAAAGGAATTAAAGGCCTGTCCTGTTAGAGTGCAGTGACTGAAGCAAATAAAAGCCTGGGGCTATTAATTGAAGTCTTACAATAAATGCACACAAAATTAGGGATGTCCGATAATATCGGCCCTCCGATATTCACTAAAAAATGTAATATCGGGAATTATCGGTATCGGGTTTTTATAACCGATATTTGTTCTGTAGGCTTCAACATTTCCGAGCCTGCATGAACGCAGCATGGGACGTTTACCGGCGCGCGCTAGGTGACGTATAACAACAACTACGCGCTAGACTGGTTGGTTGCTAACCGTGGCTAACAAGCAAACAATTTAAAGCTGAATGATTTTAATATTAACACAAAATAAGTGCAATGTACCTTTAAATATTTGACCCTGCTATGAGCTGTTCATTAAGCAAACTAACAATTGGCTTAGAATTTACATTAGCACTCCTTCAGGTGAATAATACAATTAAACACATTAACCAAAAGCTAGCGCTTAGCTAGCGATTAGGCGTAGCTAGCGTTAGCATTAGCACTCTTTTCAGTATTAATACAATGAAAGTTGAAGTTGTTCTCTTATTTTGCACAGTGTTTACATTTGGAAAGCCATGTTGCATTTATGTATGCATCCAGTGGGGCATCACAATAAAATTAGGCATAATGTGTTAATTCCACAGTAGGAGATCTGTTATGTTGTTACCAGCAGTTTTAGTTTAAAAAGCCTGCATATATCGGTATCGGGTGATATCGGTATCGGAAATTGAGAGTTGGACAATATCGGAATATCGGATATCGGCAGAAAAGCCAATATCGAGCATCCCTACACAAAATAGATTAAGATATGTGCTACAGCATGGTAAAATATGTAGTAGCTGCAGCATGATTTAAATCATTTTTTAAGGCTGAAAAAAGTATCCAGTATGGATAATGTAGTTTTTATGAGTATCGTCAGAATAAAATGTGTCAATATCTGTCTTCTATTAAACAAGATAGATAAAGAAACTTTTATTTTAGAAAACCCTATTCTGTAAATAATTCTTATTATTCTTGTGGTCAGAAACTTTGCTCTGAAGCTAAATTCTGACCTTCTCTTCTTAAACAACAAAAATTCCCTGGTTCCAGCTGCTAAAAAGTGAACCTTTTCTGGTTCTGTCTGTCTTCTATGATAGTAACTGAATACCTTTGTGTTCTGTGCTGTTGGTTGGACAAAACAAGACATGTGAATACATCACCATGGGTTCTGGACATTTGTAATGAAGACATTCTTAAATTCACTCTTTTGGTTGACATTTTATAAACAGAAAATAAGCAATAGATTAATTAATAAGTCTTTGTTCAGTTGTCATAACATCCACCCTTTGTCCTCCGACAGGTGCACAACTACAATGGCCCCCTGCGTGTTCGCATCTCACTGGTGACGAAGAATCCACCGCACAAGCCGCACCCTCACGAGCTGGTTGGGAAAGACTGCAAGCATGGCTACTACGAGGCCGACCTGCAGGAGAGAAGAATACACAGGTAGGTGTGCACAAAAGACAAGGACATTAGACTCACATGCTGCAGAGGAACTTAGGGAAGTGATGCATCTGTCACACCAGTGTTTAAAATGATACTGACCGTGCTGCAGGAATTCAATCCTAAAACCCGGAACTGAGTTAGCATTTTTGCACTTCTGGTTCCCTCTTATTGAAATCAATCTGTTTTTTTAATGGGTTTCAGGTTAGATGACTGAATTATGGTCTGTGGTTAACACAAGCTTAAGAGATGTTTGCCATTTGCCCAACGACATAAAATACATCAGTACATACCACAGCTGTGAACTCTGAAGCTAACAAGTCGCTCATTGACACTACAGAGGTTACAGCCTTGTTGTGTGTATACTTGCAAACCATCTCATTGGCTTTTTGTCGAACGAACTGGGGCGATGCTGACTTCCAGGATGGCCTACAAATAGACACTATCTCTGCAGCACTCCGTTAACTCAGAGGAAACTGCAGCTCCACATCAAAACAAGGTGGAATTTGATAGAGATTGACCTACATAAGGATGTGTTTACTGTCTCCTTGGTAAAACTAGTCAATAGCTGCATTGTGGGTTCGGAGATGAGTAAATCATTAACAGCATAAAGTACCTAACGACTACTTGCTTGATTTGCTGTCTTTCTCTATCACAATCAAGAGCTGCAAAAAAAGCATTCTGGGTACTTTCACATGGATACAAGATATTTTTAACTACATGCCTTTTAAAGCTGATATTGCATCATTCAGCCAGGTTATCTGGGCAGGCAGAGGGAAGTATGTTTGTCTGTGTACCTTTTATCACCAGTGTGATGAAAGTCAAACAGTGTGTGCTGCCCTTCACTGCATTGTGATACAGAGCGAGTAAGTGTACTCGTCAATATTAGTCATTTGTTTTTCACGTTGAAAGATTTACATGGCATTGATAGCTGCATTGAAGCTCGACATTACAATCTGATTTGTAAAGTCTGCTTGACCCACCAAACTAAAATTAGACTAGAGCTATATGGTAGTTTATCTCCAGTTCTAGGCTGACAGGATTCTAAATGAAAAGATTTCTACTCAACATTATAGAAACACTAGTCTAATAATGTGCATTATGAGGATGGGGCCTTTAAGTAAGAGAGAAAATGATTTTCTCAAAATATAAGTTCTTATTCTCAAGCTCTAACCTTAGTTTTATTTAAATATCACATAGAACAGATAATGAAAACTGATCAAATAAAATATATCATAACATATGCTTTAAATATGTTTAAAAAATGTAAGGGGAATAGGCAGAAAAGCGCAAATTATTGAAAGGCTGATTGATAAATATTCAGTTTAAGAGAAGATGCCGAGCTCTCTTTCAGCTCTCAGATGAGCTCACAAGCCTGATATTCAGAAGATATTCTGCCATGGAGGCCAAAATGTGTAATAAAACTTTATTTCTTTTCTAAGATAACAGTAACAAATTGGAGTTTGGAAACAGGCCTCTGATCATTGCAGATAGAAGGAGCTAGGCCATGTTTTTTCAAACTGGCAGTGGAGACCGGTCAGGAATACAGCCAGGAAAGAGGGAGGCGTCCACTGATTAAATAACTCTACGTGGAAGGAGGATGGCATGGAATGTCTTTGAAGAAAAAAGGAGGTCAAATGGTTACAAACTCATTAAACAAAAAAGATAAGAATACTCATTACAAGAAGACTTTAAACACTTAACACTGGGTGTGTTTAAAAGGTGATTACCAGTGTGCTAAGGCAGTGCTTATGGGCAGAAATTAAATCCAGTGTTAAGCTTTTACATTGTTTCCAAGTGTATTATATTATTGGAGGTCTAAAACATCTTCATCTATTGGTAGTGCAAGTATATTTCCACTTCCACTCCACTTTCATAAACTGTGCTCTCAACTTGTGGATGTGATCAGTGACCCATAGTGATGATGTTTTATAAGTTTTAAATGGGGATTTTATGGGAACAAAAGTGCTCCATTAACCCCAGTTTTAATCTGCCTTGCACCTCCACATTGGGCAAATACTATACATACATACACCGTGTATAAACTGTGTTCGTCCCTGAGTCATTTCTCACTTAAAAAAGAAAAAGAAAGTCACAAGGCTTTATAATATCAAATGTTGCTGCTATTGCAAATGAGAAAGTGCATGTATGATTTTGTGGTGTCTGTGTTTTAGTTTCGGTCTTAGACTGTATTTGCTTTCAGTTTTCAGAACCTAGGCATACAGTGTGTCAAGAAGAAGGATGTGAATGAGGCCATCACTTGCAGGCTGCAGACCAATAATAACCCCTTCAACAGTAAGTGGCCAGGCTTAAAACTGAGCGTACAACACAAAGCTGCCCATTGTGTGAAAAGTCACTGTGCAGTGTGGAGACGGTCCCTAAACGTCCCACTCAAAGGTTTACTGAACAGTTTAACTAGGCGTAAACTTTGCGGATAAAAGTAAAAAGAATTATTGAAAATATGCTGAAACCAAAAGTCGCTCAGACTTTTTGCTTAACTAGCACAAAAAAATAAATCGTTAGCTTGAATTAACTAGCTAAGCTGAAAAGCTAGCTTAAAAATGGCTGTTCTCATACAAGACAATGGTAACATACTGTAGCAGGATAGATGCTTTTTAGCTAATGTCAAGCTAGCTAGTGTAATGGATCGATTTTATGGAGAGAGTGATATCTTTACTCTATATCTGCGTCTGTCTGTCCTCCTATTTATATGTTTATAGGTTATTTTTCAACCTGTAGCCAGTTTAGCTTGTACCTTTTGCTACGCTAATAAGTAGCCAACTGTTGTTAGCAAGAGCCGTGGTAGCCATAGATACAGAAAGAAGGAAGCGTTCTCGATTTGACGCGCGTCTGCGCGGCCGCCACATTGGGGAGGTCAAGATCTCGCTAGTGAGATTCAGGCTTCACTACAAAATCGAGAATGTGTCAATACCCTTACTCGTAGATATAGCTATATATAAGTTTCTATTATAAACAGGTTTTCATATTCTTGTGGTCAAACATTTTCCCTGAGGCTGGTCTGTAAATAGTTTTACATATATGTGTATATATATAAATATATCAACTTCTTATCAACCCATAGAAATATCAGGCTTAAAGGTAAGGTCAGTACATGTACTACCACAGCGGCACCTGGTTTTGATTTCTTCTTCCTCTCCCCCTTTCCTGTCTACCTTTGGCTTTCACTTTCCATCGAAGTGATAAAAAAAATGCTTGTAATTAAAAAAAAATTTGACTGATTACCAGTTGTTTACATTATGAGGCCCCAAAAAATCAGTAAAATAAAATACAGTCACAATAACAACAGGAATCGTACTTTGTTACTTTCACCTCTGGCTGATATTAAAATACTGAGAGCCTACATATGACAGGATGCGGTGTCTGCCAGACTGCTGTGTTGCCTGACTGTGCACCCCACCCTTTCCCTGCTGTGTCTTGGCTGCAGTTCCCGAGGCGAAGGTATGGGAGGAGGAGTTTGACCTGAATTCGGTCCGGCTTTGCTTCCAGGCCTCCATCACTCTGCCTACGGGGGAGCTGTTTCCTATGGACCCTGTGGTTTCGCAGCCCATCTATGACAACAGTGAGAAGACAACACGCACACACAGATACTCTTTGTTCCTCTTTCTGTGTCTTGTCTTTGTACATTTATAGTCGGCCTTAATCTCAGTAGTGAGTACCTTCAGTCTCATTCAGTTGCTGTGTCCTTTTTAACTCAAAACCTTACCCAGTACACCGAATACACAGCCCTGTATTTCTATAGACTTTTTGAAGCCATAATAAAAACATTTTTTATTTGTATTATTTTGAATAAGTAAGTTATAGAATAATACCTACGTAATTAAAAATCATAAAAAACAACAATGGAACCAGTTTCCAGTGCATTATTTACATATACAAATACAAACAAAACAAACAAAGGAAAGAAAGATTTTTTTGGCTGCCTAAGGCATGTAGTATTGAGTCAGTCGCCGCCCAAAGTCCTCTGCATTTAGAAGGTGTCTGATGTCTTACAGGGGCCCCAAACACGGCTGAGCTGAAGATCTGCCGAATCAACCGCAACTCTGGAAGCTGCAAAGGGGGGGATGAAATCTTTCTGCTATGTGACAAAGTGCAAAAAGGTACCATCTGCTTGTTCGTGACACACTCTAGTTTCACATCTAACTGTCCATAAATAGAACTGAGAGCTGACTCAGCAGATGTAAAGCTCAATATAATGGCGGAAAACCTTTCACACCCACAAGATATGAGTGGGAGTTATTCTACTGACTGTACACTAGCTAGTGGGCTAGAAATAGAACCCTGACTTTCATAATATAGCTTACTACATGTGATGATGTGATTACTGAGATGCTCATAGCTGCACAGTGGGTTTCTGTGTTGATGAAATGTCTCAGTGGATTAGAACTGGAGGTAATTTAACACTGTTGACTATATAAAAGGGACATTTTTTAAATCCAGTTGAAGTGTCAGTGTATTGGTTTGTTTAACTTTGCATTCATACTACTTGTGGTACAAGCTGGATTTTTGTCAATTTAATTATGTTATTTATCTGTTCCTTTTTGCTAACTATTTAGACTGCTCACTTACTAACCAGCTAGTTTACGCGTGCTCAACATCTGCTGTTGAGGTGTCGCAGCTGCTCAGTAGGCTCGCTCGAGATGAACTGCACCTTGCCTGGAAAGAGGATGAGATAAGGCGGCAGCAGCGGCAGGAGGCGGTGACAGAGCTGTAGTCAAGTCGGACAGTTTCCAGCAGCCTTCAAAGAATATACAGGAAGTCACAGATATGTTTACATCCTGTTGATCATCTTTAGGCTACCTGTAGTTTGCAGACCACAAGCCAATTAGCTCTTTGATCAGGTGATACCCAGGCGTTTCCCATCATGCCCTGGGCAGTTGGTGGAGAGCAACCGCAACGTCCGCCTCGACCTCGTGAGGTTATTGTCGCCCATGTGTTCACGGCGTCAGAGCAAGTCTGCATCAAGTTGAACACAAATTGAACCAGCATGCATTGTGCCTGGCTCATTTCAAATGAGCCTAATATGGTACTTGTCAGTACACGCAAAAGCCTCCATTCTTTAGTTTTAATTGCCTGCTTTTACTTGCCGCCACAGAAGAATAAATCCCATAATCATAATTCATAATTTCACCTTAAAGAGTTTGTTTGCAAGGCATGCTTAGGCTTGAAGGTAAATGCTCATTTCTACTGTAAGTCACAGTTTTGACACCCTCACTTAAGAGAGACTATGTTACTTCTGAAAGATAAAATAACACATTTGTCCTCCCACAAACGGAAAATGTATTAAACCACACGCTTACGCATGTAGCCTTACTTGGTCTGGTATGACCTATAGCTTATGGAAACTAGTATTAGCACAGTTTAGACCAGATTTATATTGGTTTGCCTTTTTCAACATTTACATCCAATAGTGTAGTCTTTATATACTTTAAATACTGGGGCACAGAATTTTTGTTTCCTTTCCAAGCAATTACTGTTTATTTAAATTGTGGTCACTATGTTTAATACGTGTGGCTTTGAGGTGTTTTAGTCTCTTTTTGCTCATTGTTTTGGTTTTCCTGTCCCCAATCTCTCGCGCTCTCACTGACCACCGACAAAAAGCTCTAAAAACCCACTGTAGGAGAGTGACTATTGGATACAACACGGCTCCACATGAATGCCAAAGCTTGTTAAGTGTGCTGGATGTGTAAACAGGAAACTGTTTGCTAACAAATCCACCATAACTTTATAATGTAATATTGGCAATGTTGTGTTTCCAGCTTGATCCTCTGGCCCCAAAAAAATGAATGCAGTTTGAAGTGTGCATTTCAAAAACCACTGCTCTTAGCTAACGCCTCATGCATGCAAGCAGCGTGAAGTGATATTTTTGGCCGCAACCAGCGTTGCATGTCAGGTTTGGTTGCCTGTTGCATTGTCTGCTGTGTGTAATGCAATTCCTGCCTGCTACATCCGTATACTGGAGGTAAAAACAGCCCCCCCCCTCCACTTTTCAAATATCTTCTTGTGTTTAATTTCTTCGCATGATCTCTTATTAATTAACACTATTTAAACATTTTTAATGAGTATTTTTCCCTCAGTTATTTGTTATTTCATCATGGCAGGCGTACGTGCTGTACAACATGTGCTTTGTATTTTGGACATGGGGACGCTCCCGTGAGGACTCCATGGCTCAACTTAAGCTATGATGCACATTACATCAATGTGGAAAAAGCTCAAGGTCCTGATCTCTCCAGGAGAATGTCATATACTTAATTTCCACATCAAGCAGAGCATCACACTTTTACGTCAAACATTACACCCCTTCAAGTCTGACTCATTACAAGTTGTCAAACTTTGTGTTGCATCACAGCAAAAGTGATGTCTTTAGCTCTTGTACTTTGTTGATAGCAAAGCACGCAGCTGATTTTGCATCGGCGCCGTAAAGGAAAATACCTCTCTATGACCAATGTCCATCCTCAGCTTCAGATCTCCTTACGTTTCCCCATTTTCTGTCCCCCTGCAGAGGACATCGAGGTGCGTTTCTTCCAGGACTCCTGGGAGGGAAAGGGCTCTTTCTCCCAGGCTGATGTCCACAGACAGGTGGCCATTGTGTTCCGCACACCGCCGTACCGCGACACTAACCTCTCTGCGCCCATCAGTGTCAAGATGCAGCTCCGCCGGCCCTCTGACCGTGAAGTCAGCGAGCCAGTGGACTTCCACTACCTGCCTGTCGACCCAGGTGAGAGGCAATGTTTCCATATGACATCACATCACATAAGTTACAGATGACAGCTTTTCCTGGGAATATTTAACAGTCTCAAAGTAACTGAAAGTCTCATAACTGCTTTTTAAAAATGACCCCCTGTAGATGAATACAGGCTGAGTGAGAAGAGAAAGCGTACAGGGGACATGTTCCAGAGCCTGAAGCTGGGGCCCATGCTGTCTAGTGGTACGTTGATGAGATTTTTTTCTCTGCTCGATATATAATGATGTAATAGTGATTTATTTTGTATGTAATATAATCACATCTGTCTGATTTTTAGTGTCCATTCCACAAGATAGACGGCACATAAGCCCAGCAAGGAGAACAGTCACAGCCAAGCCTCCATCAATGAACGCACAAGCTGGTGAGTCTTAGTTTAATTTGTTCATGTTACACACTGATGATTCTGTTCATTCGCTGCAGAGATTGGCTGTGATTCTAGTAGAATTGAATAGATGAGTTGTAAATGTAGTGAAAATCTGAGATTTGGTTTTCATCTCTTTTTCCTCCCCCCCGTCTTAAAGATAGTGAATCTATGTAGCAATAGCGTTTATTTAGGAACAAGCATAAACAGATGATTTGTATGTGAATTTCTGCAGAAAGATTTCCAGCAGTGGAACTCAGATTGCTTGTTGTGTTTGTCTCCAGCGGCTGTAGTGCCCCCTAGTGCCAGTGGAGCGAAACCCCAGGCCTCCTACCCATACAATCAGCAAGGCCAGCTCTTCTCAGTGCAGCCCAAGGTAGAGTCCTCCCCCTCCAACTCTTCTGCAACCACAAACCAAACATGGAGGATCATGGAGAGCCTGAACCTGGGCTCCCAGCCCAAAGCCACTCCAGTGTCCAACTTCACAATGAGCCAGGTATCTGCCTCCTCCTCCTCCACCACCACTGCCCCTGTCAACCCGGACTACTCAACCGTCAACCTGTCAGATCTTCATGAATTCTTCCCCAACATTTCCTCAGCCATGGCCCAGGAGCCAGCAGCCTCCCAGGGAAGCATGGCCTCCTCGCAGACCAGCAGCTCCTTCACCCTCCAGGCCTCTCAGTTCCGGGTGGACCCACCACTCGTTGACGATGACATCCCTGAGTTCCCTAGCTTTTCCGAAGCCCAGGCCCCAGGCGCTCTGGACAACCTAAATATGGATGACTTTGAGGACCTTCTGAACCCCACCCTCATGAGCGAGAGTGGAAACGGCACCTCAATGTTGGGTCAAGCTTCCTGCCAGCAAGCTCCCAGCTCCTCTTTTGCTTCTCAGAACACTGCAGCATCCCATAACACTTCTGACCCTGCCAGCAACCCAGGAAGCACCTGGATGAATTATCCCAACAGCATTGTCAACTTGCTCCAGAATGAGGTCATGAATGACATTGCCCCCAACAGCAACCACCGGCCCGCCGTGCTGGATGAGCTCGACGAGCTGATGTCTGCCGACGAGGATCGTCTTATTTCCATTTTTAACAGCGGAAACCCAGCTAGGTTTGTGTCAGGACACCCAACTTAAAAGTTTGTGCATGTGATTTTATTATGGACATATTTACAAAGACCACTTGAGTCTGCTCCTTTAGCCTTCAGAACTACAACTCCTTTGTTGTTACTAAAGACAGAAAAAGGACACAAGGTGGATATGAAGGGCTGTAAGAGACAGAATGTAGCAAGACTGCTCCCTGTGAACATGAAATCCCAGCAAAGACTCTTTATGCTATTCAGTTCGTGGGGTTTGCCATCAGGCCTCATTTATACCGTTTGTCCGATAAAACAATAAACCACAAGGCCAATGATCAGATTTCACCGCCCTAGTTGAGAATCAATGATTAACTTTTTCAGCGACTGTGTCAACCTGATGTTAGATTATCCACTAACAAATGTTTGTTTTATAAAGACAATTAGATCAGATGTATGTTTTCCTGTTGAGGTCATTGTCTGTGGAACATGTTAAGCATGTTCTTGTACTTTGAACAGTTTGGTAGCTCTGGTCAATGTTACTTAAGTCTTTAAATGAAATGTTTGGTTTAAACAAAGTGGCTGGTATTTTCAAAGAATTTAATCAGATTTAGAATTAAGTCTATGCAAATTATGTTCGTCATTGTCCTTTTAATGAAATATCCCGGTGTGTTTGGAGATTAGAATGTTCTCTTTAAGTCAGCAGGAACTGTAACAGCTTCCTTATACAGGTGCCTATGTTGAGTCGCAACAAAATGTAATGTGTGTAGAGCCAAATGAAGGTGTGTATGTAAATAATTATCAAACAAGCAACATTAATTAAGTACATGCTTATAGCAGAGAAGCTGTATCAGATCGTGTTTTTTTGTCTGGTAATATAATTTCCTCTGGTCTCTTATCAGTTTTTCTACAGTTGTTTTATGAATAATGGCTGTAGTTTAACTCTTTTTAGACCTTCAGGTCAACTTGCTATACTCTGTAGTAAAACATGCTTTATTGACATGAAATTATGCTGTTTTATCCCAGTATGATGTAAGCAGATTATACTATATGCCTTTTTTTGCTGTAATGAATAATTCTGTCTAAATTCCAAAACACTTTTCTTGGCAATAAAAACCACAACATACTAAGATGATCTGGTCTTCAAAAGTAGACTTTATTTGGCAACTCTGTTATCGTGGTTCAACACAAACCAAAAATATAGAGCCAAATAAATGAGACAAATGTATCGTGTAAAAAAAGAAACTTCATTGGATGCACGTGCATACAAATCAAGGATTTCTACAACCATCCTGTCAGGTAAGTGTTAGTGTCTAACAAACAAAACCTCAAGAATACAAATACTCATTACTTATGAATACAATATATTCAATACAAAAAAAATGTGACAGTAATTCAGGTCACTTAGAAAATATTACAGCATGAGAAGACGAATGAAATGAGATTTAGTGCTTGTTTTTGCCAAAAGGAAGAACTTGAGATCAAAATTCAACCACTGACTCAAAATGGTTTCAGTCAGCGAGCTGTACTGCACACCCCGACTCCTGGATCACAAAGTGCCTCTTCATTTACCCATGCTGCAACACTATCCTCCTGTTTTGACAGGCTTATGTTACTTCAAGATTGGTGACTTTGTTGATGATGTGGGACCGCCTGGGTACACACTCCAGATCAAATTTGCTCTCGTATATGGTTGGGCAAATCTTCCAGCGGTTGTTTCGGTAGATTCCCAGGTATGTGTACACATCCGGCTTGTAGGAAAGACCACATTTGACCCCGGTGGCACGGATGACGGAGTCGAGCCTTATAACCTCGCTCTCGTCAGTGAAGTTCTGGTTATAGGCACAAATGACCTGCTTGCCCTCTCCCTTGGGATTATGGGGACTGACTTTAACTAGGGAGATCTTCCCATCCAGGGCTGCTCTTGCCACACACTCCCAGGCATGGTCCAACTTGAAACCAGAGTCCAAGTGCATCAGCCATTTGCCCGTGAGCACTCCGTGGTTCAGGGCCAACTCCTTCACTGTCTGGAAGCTGACAGGCCGGCCACTTGCCAAAAGTTTCTCCCAGCTCTCCTGGAGACCCGTGACATCCGCACCACTGGGGCAGTGGCTTGTGCCCAGCACAGCTATCCACCCCACAGGGCTAACGCCACCTTTCTCATCACCAAATCTGTGCACTTGTGATGGCCTGTTGCTCTCCAGCCAGCCATCAAACTCGGATCTGGGAGTTCTTCTCGAGTCAAACACAATCCAGGGGTCCATGTCTGCAGCCATGGCCTCAGCTGCATAGCTCTCTGCAGCAAAGGGGGTCTCCACCTCGCCATCCACAGGGGCCTCTTCCTCCTCCATGATGCTGTCAGTGTGAGGCTGTTAAACAAGTCCTGGAGCGTATCCTGTTGAAAGGAGGAAGGTGTTGTGTTATTTGATATTCCTGTTTAAACCACATGTGTTAGTTTCTAACGCTTCCAACCCCAGGCAGAGGTGGGCAGCTGGATGGCTTGCGGATGTTTACTAATGCTGCTAGCTAGCCTGCTACGTTAGCAACACTAGTTCAATAGCTAACGTTTTTGTCCACCTGCCGAATCTTTCACAAAAATAAGCTTTGCTATCCATTTCGCTTGTGTGTCGTCTTTAGTTAACGTGCAACGAAACACGAAGCCTCCGTTACATATCGGAGGATTTTTAACTGCTTGCCTCCAGTTTTGTTGTTGCTAACTAGCCGACTAGCTAGCCATTTTACCATTCGTTCAGCTTCTTGACAAATTTGGAGAATTATTCTTTACGGCCAGCTGTTGCTCACAGATAAGGTTAAAGCATGCCTCATTTGCATGTGGACAAGAGGAATTATCCCACATTGGTCCCAAACTGTGGACTTTAAGGCTGAACCTACCTGCAGATGTTGGAGTTGGTTGTGCAGTGTTGTTCCGCTGGAGCGCAGCCGCGGCGGTACGCTGCTGTGTGTCAGCGGGCGGTGTGACAGACTCCGTTCAAATGTCCGATACTTTCACTGTAGTGCCTGCCTGACGACTAAATCATGTACCCCGGAATTTACTTATTCTTTCGGCGCACACATAAAGCAGTGAAGCTGCGTTTTAATCAAACAATACAACTCAGACGCTGCTGTAGCCCGAGGTGTATTCATTAAAGCATTGTAAGTGAACGTAAAGTTAGTGAATTGAATGTAGCGTTAATATCCAACAACTCTTCAGTGATAAACACCAGATTCTTCCGGGTGTGTATATCCGCAAATAGGCAAGCACGCGTTCATTTGATAGTTTTAGTGTACATATACAAATAACCGTCGTACATTATTACGTGAGCTAAAGGTTGTGTACATTATATTCCTGTACAAGTTGCGGGACGCCGTGGTGCTTCAACCAAAGGGCGCTGTGACCCTGCGGAACCAGGCTGACCCGCCAGGCAACAGGGAACCAGTGACGACGACGTGCTAACGAGTTAGCCGGCTAGCTACTGCTATCTAGTGTGTGCGCGGTGGAGGTGATTTATATATGATACTGAATAATTCTCCACAATATATTGCGTTTTATTTATAGGTGAGCCATCCAGGTCATATAATAATGCCCAGCAAAAAGAAGAAATACAACGCCAGATTCCCTCCGGTAAGTTTAAACTTTACTGAACCGGTGTGAAGACTAGCTGATGTTATCAAACTGTGAGGGAAAGCTAACTTGTTTGGCTAGCCTGAATGGGATTCGGCCTGTTGTGTTGCCTAAAGAGCTAACAAGCTAATTAGCAAACGCTCGCTATTTCTCACTTAAATGTAAATTACACCAGTACCACACCAGCGTCGTAACTAACTTAACGTTTCTTTGCACCCCAGTGTTTGCTAAGATACATTTAAGGCGTGCGGCGTAAGTAGGCTAGCGAGTCCATCAGTTACCGTTGTTTTTAGCATGACAAGCTAAGTGAAACTAAACGTTATAAATCTGTGCAAATCTGCTATTTCTAGATGAATTACAGGCCAACTTTTTAATTGTTCGCACCGCACACGCTACAGGAAATCGGTTCAACATGACGGGAACAAATAGTTTTAAACATGCCTGTTATGAAAGTCGTTTTTATCATGATGAAATGTGTGTTACTGCATTTCACTTCACAAGCTTTTCGTTTTGATACACAGAAAGCTAGCTTTAAGAGTGTTTATAATACATTTTTAAAAAATGATAACACTTTGTAGTGTCCATGTATTCACATGCACTGACTTGTTGTGCTCACCTTTTCTCATTACAGGCGAGGATTAAGAAGATTATGCAGACAGATGAAGAAATAGGCAAAGTGGCTGCAGCAGTACCTGTTATTATATGTATCCTTCCTGCCAAATATCTTCACTGGGCAAGGTCCAAAGTTCTGAATGCACAGAATGATGTTCAGTCTATCTAAACTGTAATATTAATTTAGACAGGGGACTTCAAACTAATGGTCTGACTTGGAGTTACATGAAAATGTTCAGCTTTCTCTGAGTTTAAAGTCACTGTAAGCTGAATATCTGTGGGGTTTGGACTGCTGGTCAGACAAAAAAAAAAAAGACATTTGAAAAAGTCACTTTGGACTGGGATTTTGTGATGGGCATTTTTCTAGGCTAACATGTTCCACCCTAACTCACTTACTGAGTACAAGTTGAGGATCGGCACGCTATCAGGTAGTAAATGATTGTTGCATTCATTGTAATGTTTCTGTCACAATCAGCCCAAGCAGAATATTCATGTTTTTAGTTGTTAGTCTCCCTGCAGTTACAGCATGAGACAGACCATGTAAGTGAATCTGGTTTATCTAAATGAAAGACTTGCTGCATCATAATTTCCTTGACTGAGACACCAGCGAGAGCCCTGGAGCTTTTTTTGGAATCATTGCTCACAAAGGCCTGTCAAGTCACCCAGTCTAGGAATGCAAAGACAATGACAACATCACATCTGTAAGTTTCTCTGTGTTTGTGTGCATCTTGATAAAGAAACGGGTCTGTATTGCACTGTGTTGGAGGTGGACTCATCCTGACTGACAAAGCATAGATGTGAATTCAGGCTGCTGGGTAATGACAGGAAATCATATCAAAGTTGTAATTTGATTTTGGATACATGTAGCTGAAAAGGTGTTATAGCTTCATTTTCTTTGGGTTTAGATAAAGAAACTTTAAAGCACCCTATTATACTGTATAGTATAGTGTGGGAGTACCTGAGATGCTTGTGTTACCTTGATAGTGATGCGGAGTGGATTTGCTACACCTTGCCAAATCCCTCGTATATGAGTATTTCTGGCCGGGAGCAAAATGCGGCTGCCAGGAGGATCTTACTGTGTGACTCAGATTCTGAAGGTCATTGAAATGAATATATAATCTCCATTTATCTCTGTCTATTTGACATTAAGTTGACTTTTAACTCAGAACATCTGCATATCTGTGGAGAAAGCAATGTACCGACGTTAAAATTGCATGTGCGTTCACAGAAAGCAATGTATCGAGCTGGAGCAACAGTTTGATTTCCTGAAAGACCTGGTGGCAACGGTGCCGGATATGCAGGGCGAGGGGGAAGAGAACCACACCGAGGGGGGAGGAGAGAAAGTCCCGCGCAGGTAACACTCTCTCACACACACACACACACACACACACACACACACACACACACACACACACACACCAACATGTTTGTATAACACCATGACTACAGAGGATTTAAACGGTCAACACTTCAAAGTTAACACCAGGAAACTCAGATCTGCAAAGTTGTACTTTACACACATTGCTAGTCCAGGATAATGTGATATTGGATGTGCCCTATCACTGTATCATGCAGCTGAGTTTGACTCATTAATCTGGTTTATCGCCTGATTAGTCAATTAATCATTCGGTCATCTCTGATAAGTGCCTGCACACACACTATTACGTGGAAGAAATTAATCACAAATAGTCCTCAAACACTCCGTATCTGGACAGAGGGAAGGTTACCTTTGCTTTTCCAGGAACAGCAACTACTGTAAATTGAAATAGACTAAAGCAATATGTTTGTCATTCTTGCACTGTTACCATTTTGTTTTGCGATTATAGATTAATTACAACAAAAAAAACGAGAAGGAACATTTATACAGCTCTACAGAGCGCGAACTAATTACTGAGGATTGTAGAGAAGAAAAAGCAGTATTGACTGTCAAATCAAACACTGGCACTGCAGCTAAATTGAAGCAGAGAGCTTGGCAGAGAATTACACATAAATTAAATGAGTAAGAAGCTTTTTTCCCCCACTAAAGAGTGTGGCTGATTCGATTGTGATTCAATTTAAAGTGGTTGTAAGCTCCTAATGTTTAGACACTTTGTCTCAGCTATGGGAATGAGGCATGAGGAGTCACAGCTTCTTTGAATATAAATGGAAGAAAGTAATTTCCACCAGCATTATCGGTCTCATTATTCCCTGCATCAGAACTGTCTCTGTTTGTCTGAATGATGCAGTAGATTTATGCTGCAGATTTATGCTGCAGAACAGCTGATTTTTAATTAGTTTTAGAAGCTCTTCAAATATGGCAGACTTTGAAATTGAAGACAACATTTTTTTTTTGTTTTGGCATCTTTGTCTCATGTTGTTGTTCAAAGAAGCTAAAGGGGAAGTCATTGAAAATATTCTAGGAAAACCTCCCAAATTTCTCTCACCAAACCATCTTTTGTAATGTCACCACTACATACATCTGTTAAGTAAGGGGTAATGCCCAGCGAGGTGCAAACCATAACTCTGTTTCCGTGGTAACGTCTGAGGGTTTGACTAATACATGGAACAATCATTACCATCCCACAAGGTTATACAATGGGAACGTTGTTCACTACTCCAGAAAATATCAGGAACCTTAGACTATGTAAATATGAAGTTTTCTACAATGGAGCAAGAACAAATTGATTAGTAAACGAAAGTAAAACATTTCAGAATGAAGTGCCAAATAATTTTTAATGGAAAAATCAGTTAAATGTGTGATCAGTTGGTGTCTTGTGTAAATAGCTTTCAGACCAAACAGCAGATAGAGCTGTCATTTATCAGTACCAGAATCTTGTAGCATGACCCTGACTTACACCGCTCCAAAAATGTTTCTTTCCCCAAAAGCTGAAACGGCAAGTACGACAAACGTTTCTTTCTTTTTTGTTTTCTCCCCAGGGGTCGGAAACCAGGGTCTGGCCGCAAGAATGGAGGGGCTGGCTCCAAAGGCAAGGACAAGAAGTTGTCTGGCACAGAGTCAGAGCAAGAGGTGGGAGTTGATTTGCATTCAGAAGCCAATAGCTATCTACGGTTTGATGGCGTTTGGTGCCTCACTCTTGAGAATGCAGCAGGACATTTTGAGCACAGACAAATATTTTTGCAAGCATATAAACGATATTTTGAAGAGAAATGATCATGACGCAAACAAATCTATTCTGTGCTCAAAGCATTTATTTGTGTGTTTGCTATTATCCACATCATTGCACAACTGTACCATTTTACTTACCGGCCCTCTCTCAGATTCCCTGCTGTGTGCTCCATGCACACTCAGTGTTTTTCTTGCTCTCTCAACACCTCTGTTGTGTGTCCTCAGGTTCGCCTGTTTAGTACTCTATACAGTTTTTACCACATACGGAGTTAAATGAACCTCTGTTTCATTCTATATGTAAGTTAGTGTGCACTGTATTAGCTTGTAGCTTTGCTATTCACGGAAGTATTGTTTATCAGGCAGATCGCTATCTGTCTATGAACATAGTTAACTTGGAAGCTAATAGTAGAGACAAAACATTACAATATAAGGACTTAATAGGTCTGTAACCAAAACTGTTTTCGTTACTTCTGTGTGGCTGATGTGTGCCTCCTCGTCTCTCCTAGTGCTTCCCTACTTCCCTAAAGCCCCGTAACCAAATCCTTGTAGCAATCTGATTGCAGACAAAACTGATAGCACACAGAGCAGAGATGGTGAGAGAACAGGAACATTGATAGAGCAGAATTAGTAACACTTGGTGGGGTTATCATTGTGGCATACAAAATATAGTTATCTGTTGGCAAAAATGTTGTTACTGCTTGCATAATAATTTCTCTACAAAATGTAATTTATGTATAACTCCATACAGTTTGAATGATTTGTGCGTGTTTGAGGTAAGAAGGTTCACTGGTGTGTCTGTTGTGATGGAAACAGGATGACTCTGAGGACAGTGAGACAGATGGAGATGAGGAGGATGGCTCTCAGTCAAGCACAAATCTGCAGGCTGCATCCAGGTTCCACAGGTATGGACACAGCCCTTATATATTGAGATATTGTATATCCAGATAGTGTCTAGATCCACTCGGGACTGATGACAGTGCTCACATCACAGTCAGAGAGGAGGATTTGGTAATTGGTACTTTGTTGTATGCACATACTGTTGTTGCTGCCCTGTGAAAATCATGTATTTCCAAAAAATTAATATCTCATTATTATCTCATTAAGAAAAACAGCCCTGTTTTCAGTATTGTGACAATAAAAGTTTCAGATAGGCCAATTCATTTTTTTAATGTTTATATAAGAAGTAGAAGCCCTAAATGAACATTTAATCTATTAGTTTATAAAAAATAAAAAATCTAATGCTAAGTTTATGAATTAGACATTATGAAATAAATAATCATATGAATAAATTGTGTAAAATATATAAATGAACTAACAATTTGTGAAATAATAGAAGACATAATTAAAACTCATTACTATGAATTTGTGGCGTTCTTCTTTATTGGATATCCTTTTCATTTCATCAAAACCTTTTATTAGACACATATTTCAAAATGGCATTTTTTCCCAATGACAGTTCCTAATGTCCATTTTTTCATGACAGTGATGTCAGGTACCCCTGGCCTCTCTTAAGCAGGCCCAACATCTGATACCAAATTGAGCCACTAAGCTCCTGTGAGCTGGAATAGAATAGAAGAGCAACAGGCTGAAAGATAATAAAAACCTTTGTATATAGGGCGGCCTCTAGGTCACCTGATGGTGCTGGCGCCCAATGTGCCTGTCCTGCAGCAGCCAAGGGTTCGAGTCCAACCTGAAGGCCCTTTGCTGTGTGTCATAATACATTTTTATTATACATATTTAAAAAAAACAACCTTTGTACAACCACCGTAGTAATCAGACCAGCTGTCTCGTCCCTGGTATTTTCAATTCAACTCCCCTTTACTTTTATAGCACCTTTCATACAAACATGCAGCCCAAGGCGCTTTACAGCAAAATGTATACAACACAGACAGAAAATGTAATCAAAACAGCAAAAACAGTGAACCATGGACCAGAAATAATGTAAAAACCAATGAGTAAAAGTTAAAAACTAAGGCTATAAAATGATGTAACATTCAAATGAATTAGTGTATTTTGGCTGCAATCATACTTGAACTTACATAGTGTAACAGCAGCAAGACTCATCAAGTCAGTGAATTTTGGTGCTGTAATGAGTTATTGCTTATCATTTCCACTTTACTCACTCGGAGAGAGAATGTCTTCTCTCAAAATTCAACAGAAAATAGTAAGAGAAATCTGGTGGCTTGTATACAGCCAGAAACAGGGAGAGGGCGCTGTTTTTCCATGAGAGACGATGATTAAGCCTTTGCTGTGTCCCAGTTCCACACTACTTTCTCATTCTAAGCAACATTTGAGTTTCTCACCGCTGGAAAAATTCAAACAGCTTTGGAGGGTGGTAAAACAGCTTTGTGAACACCTCCGAAAATAACTATGACGTCCTTGGAAATACACATCTGTGTGTTTAATTGGCAGTGACAGTCCCATGCTAACTGACATGCAGTTACACGCATATTTGATCATTTCCTGTGAGTGTAAAATGATTAAGTATGTGGATTTATTGAATAATGACTGCAAAGGGGGTATACTATGGCAATAAGTATATCGTACATACTGTATATAATTGGTATGTAGTGTAGAGTTGGGACACACTGCTTGAGAGTGTATTGAAGAGGCAGAGATTGACTGGGAAATACAGCGGAAATGTAAATTCCACAATGATTTATGACGTTTAAATGGATATTACCTTCACTTAATGATTGCCACAACTCCTAACACCTGGTTTACGCCTCTGCCTGCACCCCCCCCGCAGCTCAAACGCACCCCCCCAGTACATGCACATGGGCAACATGGTGTCAATGGGCAACTTGGCTCCAGCACAGCCCCAGGGCGGCATGGCCTTCGCCCCCCACCCCTCCATGATGAGCGCCGCACCGCCTCCCCCACCCCCTGCGCCGCACAAAAATGAGGACGACGACGATGAAGACTATGACTCTTAGCTCCCTCTTCCCTCCTCCTCCACCACTCTCGCACACGAACACACACACACAGACACACACAGTCTTTTCAACATCATTTTCGATTTTTTAAGTTCTTGCGGTGGGCGCTCTAAGCAGAGGAGGGAAAGACTCTTCATCGCAGCCCGCTGACAGAAAAAGCCTTCGGCAGCAGGCTGTAAGAGACACCGCCGCAGGAGACAGAAAACTGGTTGTATATTATGTGTTTTAATTTTCCCTTTTCTTTTTCTTTATTTTTTTTTTTAAAAAAAGGTTTTATTTTATTGTAGAGGAAAATCCAATGAGGATGTTTTTTAACCAGTCAGTCATTCTATTTTGAATTTTTTTTTTGAATTTTTAAAAATGGCAGTCGTCACTGTTTTTGCCATGAGCCCCCGCAGACAGGATAGGTGTGGTTTGTGTTGCCTTGTAGCTTTTTCTTTTGGCACTTTTTCTTTCTTCCTCAATCCTCTGTAGTAGACATTATGAAGTGGACAAATCAGTCACTCAAACCCTCAGGTTGGCTGAAAAAAAAAAAAAACTATAAGTGGTAGTTAAAGTCTTATAATAGCCTTTGATGCTCATACGAAGGCGGCTAGTCGAGATGGGTTCAGGGCAACAGTTTGTAAAGTATTTTGAAAGAGATCAGCACTTGTGGAAGGGAAAAGGAGGTCATCGTCTCACCCATGAAGTGTTCTATTACTATGTTATCGATTGGCTATGAAATACTGCTGTTAAGATGTGAGCCCTACTTCCCGGCTTTGTCACAACGTGCTAGTCAGTCCAATTGTCAGGCTGTAACATAAACAAGGAAGCAGGTGTATTTTTACTATAGGTTAGCTGGCCCGCAGCTTTTTTGAATTTGTTTCTATTTTTAATTCACGTTTTTATCAAGAGAACTGTAAACCTCCAAGACAACAGCCCTGAATTCAACCATATCAGCAGGTTAATGATTTACGTTTGGTTCGTTGTTGTTTTTGACGCTGTCGGAGGTAAGTTGCTCTGGCAGTTGGACCCGGTACATTATTTTATACAACCATTCAGTTGCCCATCAGAAGTATACTGTTACCCTTGGACCATAACTTTGTTTTTAAAGTTGTTTGTCGCCTTTTTTCCTCTCTAATTTCTATTTTGGCCACCCCTCCAATTTTTGAGTAACTTTCCTCTTTATCAACATTTTTTTCCCTCTTTTAGCTTGTTTTAAACGTATCCATTGAAAGCAGAGATGGGGCTCCCATTTATGTGTCAGTCTCAGTATGAAATGTTTCCGAATAGACAGTTGAAGTTGACACTGTATTGTAAAACTTTTAACATTCTTTTTATTTTGTATGGGTGAAATAAAGTTCATATTTCAATTAAAAAAAGCAAGCCTTGTTTGGGTTTGTTGTGTTTTCCATTATCAGAGATGAATAGCCTGAAATGCTTCTCACATCAAGTTCACATCTAAAGTTCACCTTTAGACACAGTTCTTTGTTTAGAGGCTGGAAGGGCAAAACGTGACTCCGGCTGCATCTTTAAGCAAAATATTTCAAAGTGCTTCCCCCTTCATTTTTCCATTTGGCAGGCGTGGAACACATCCATTGTAGTTCTGACTTGATGCTGTGCCTCCTCACCTTTTGATTTCTTTCTGTATCTTGCAGTATAATAAGCTTTCCCATGGATGCATCTTGAGTTGATTTACGTGCCAGTGACTCATGCAACCTGAAAGACTAGGTCTGTTGTATTTATCCTCAACATTGCATCCTCCTCCTGGTATTTGAATCAGATAAGCACAAGACAGTACAGGTTTGTGGAAAGGTGTTCACAGAGAGGTGATTGTTACCATCACAGACGCACTACTTTCCTAGTCTGTGTCCAGCCCCTCTCCTCTTCCTCCTGCCTTCTTTATTTTTTAAACAGACCGTTTTGTCGTGTAAATGCAGCCGCCTCTTTTACCCCCCCACCCAACTGACCAAGCAGCCCTGAGCCGGGGCCACAAAAACAACTGCATCCTTCCTGCACAAGCGTTGACTCAGCGCACTGTGAGAAGGGTGGGGTTAGCTGTGTGTGTGTGTGTGTGTGTGTGTGTGTGTGTGTGTGTGTGTGTGTGTGTGTGTGTGTGTGTGTGTGTGTGTGTGTGTGTGTGTGTGTGTGTGTGTGTGTGTGTGTGAGGTGGGAAGGGGGTGTAGGTGGTTGACTTTAGGAGGTCGGTGTCCAAACAAACGGCAGCCATGGCGCAGGGAAGGAGGGAGGGGAGGGGGACGCATCAAAGGACTAACAGAAGGAAGCACACTGTTTCCACACAGCAGCCGGCGGGGCCAAAGGTGGCCCTCTGATTCCCATCCCCTCCCATGAAGCCACTCACTTTTAAGAGCTTTGCACTTTCGGAAACATGGGAAAATTTGGCACAGAGGAATTTTCAAGAATAAAAGCCTTTCATAAAAGCATGTGTTTAAAGGCATGCTCTGGCCTTGATCAGAAGGCATGCTGGGAAGCAACTTATTAAAGCTGCAGTAAGTAATTTTTGTAAAAATAACTCATTTTCTGAAATGTTCACTATATCTTGACAGTGGAACATGAGACAGATAATCTGCGGGAAAAAAAAGCTCCTCCTAGTTCTAATGACGTTTGCAATCTTTATCGGTTCTGATTGGTTGTTTTCGTTCAGGCCCGGTGGATTCTTGCAAATGCCATTAGGAGCACTAGGAGGAGCCAGAGGAACCTGATTTTTTTTTTTATCTGTCTCATGTACTACTGTCAGGATATAGGGAAAGTTTCAGCTAATAGGTTTTTGGGGTTTTTTTACCTACTGCAGCTTTAATACACTCAGATCTGTACTTCTGTACTAGCTATTTTTTTCTCCCTGACCATGTAGGTGATATGTGGGGTATACAGTAATACGTATGAACACAATTAAGTAAGGCAGTGGTTTTTAGCCTTTTTGTTGTCAAGGACCCCTTGATACACATCAGTGGACCTGTATTTGATAAGTAGTCTCAGGGATCCCTGTCTGATAAGATTTAGTTATTCCCTAACTGTCTGTACTGTAGAGTGGCAGATTAACAGTGAGGAGTGTAAAACCCACAGAATAGTCATTCTTGTACATTCTCTTTTTGGGCTAACTTCTAGTCACCCTTAAGGACTGTCACAACAAGCACACATAAAAAAATATTCAGGGTCTAAAGATGAGCTCGTTTTTAAAAAATGACAATATATATGACCTGTTAAAGATTTACATCTTCAGTAGAAATGGCATCTAGCCGTGAAGTTTGAGATTGCAACTAACTGAATAGTTCTCGCCTTCCAAGTGTATATGAGAAACTACGATGGCCACGAACCCCATGAAAGGCTCTATCTACAGCCACTTTGTCCATTCTAGGATACTGTAGAAACATGGCGTACTCCATAGAAGAGGACCTGCTGCCTCTGCAGATAAACAGCTCACTCTAAGGTAACAAAAACACAACAATTTGTATTTTCAGGTGATTATACACTAATGAAAACATAACTATGATTATTATATTTCTGCCAATAGACCCTTAATGTTTCACACTGGACCTTAAAGATTGAGACAGATGTTGAAATAAATTTAAACTAGCCTATCAGCTTATTGACCTTTTGAGCATAAGGTCATGATTGTGTCATCTTTCTAATGGGACGTTGAGTGGCTCATTTGACATCAGTCCTTTTACTTAAGAATGTTTTGGCTCCTACGGAAGCCCTCTTTGACCAAGAAAAGAAAAAAATATACATAAAAATGATGCATGATGGCAATAAAGAATACACGATAAACCCAAATTATGAAACACTCAGTCAATTATGAGTCAAAGTTTGGACTTGGAATTATTTTCATCCATTTTTTATTTCTTTTCCCAGTGGAAATATGCCTCCATAGGCTGCAGTATTACATATTGTAAATCATATCGGAGGAGGACAGTTTTGAAGGCTTTTCATGAATATTGCAACAGAAAGTGTCCCGTAGCAAACAGTCAGCTGAGATGTAATAGTTTGTACATTTTTTATTACGAGAACTACCCCGCTGAGCTCCAGTGCTTTTTACAATAGAAAGATGATCCTGAAAGTGAGAGTATTCTCCCTGGAGTAAAACTTTTAAATGAGCTACATTTGACTTCATCTTAAGTAGAATTGTACGGCAGTAAATCCGACTCTACTTCAGGAAAATGTCAGAAACAGCTCTTCCACCTCTGTCGGGTAAGTAGCCCATCAAACTGCATAAAGAACATTAAACCAGCCATACGCTAAAGGCTTTTTTAAAAAAGTGTTGGCTCGAAGAAAAGCTTGAAACTGCTTTTTTTGTTCAAAGTAACAGCAGACAAAGGCAAATTTCTCCTCAGAGCAGCACTTTATCCTCTTCTCTTTGACTATGGGGACCAATTTGAATGAACCACTGTCCTTGAGTATTTGGACTGAATGTCACTAAAGCGTACTATCGCAGGAAGACACTTTACTGTGTTCTTACAGTAGCAGATGGGAGCAAAGAAACACACAGTGTAAGCAGTAGAGCAGATGGCGTCCACTTAAAATAACCATATAGCATATAAATATATCAGTATGCAGAATATCGGCAGAGTTTAAGTGTAAGATAACACTACTGAAACATACAGTCCTGACACATTTAAGACAATTAGACCACTGAAAGAGGAACCTGCACATAAAATGTCTAACTTCCAGGAAACGGTGATTTTACAGTTGTATTTATATTACTTCATTGCTATGCATTGTAAATACATTTTTAAAATGTATTTTTCTCAAGTTCACCTGTTACCACCAACATCAAGTAAGCCCTAACAAACAAAGAGGACTTCTAAGGTGCATTTCAAAATAAAAGACAGATTAAACGGTGCCGTGTTCTCAAGAAGAAAACTGTAGTAAAAAAAAAAATACATTAGATCAATGTTTTTCCTCACAAAATGTCAGAATCCCAGAATAAAATACTAACAGTAATACAACTACAACACTACAATAGCCTATTACTCGTAATGTAACATTTATTTATTTTATTTTGAAGGCAAACACTTGGTGATTTGGTTATTTTTTTAGGTATTTTCTGCGAACTTGACGCACCTCCAGCGTTGTGGCCCTGTAGCAGTGTGAAGTTAGCAGGAAAATAGCCTTGAAAATACAGGAAAACGCTTCATTCACAATAAATGAGGTCACAGGGTACACAAATGGGTAGCACACAAGTAATTACTAGTCAATAAACAGCTCTTAAAATGTATTCTTTAATTTTTACTAAGAAATAAATAACACTACTTTATTACCATAAAATGTTAGCCCATTAGAGTATCATTTGAAGTCTGTAATTTCACTTGAACTCCATAGGCTACCTAACAGTGCTTGAAATCACACTGTCGCTTTATTTTTGTCATTTTTATTCCATTGGAGAGCCAACATGACCGTGACCTAAAGTACAGTGGCGATCACTCCGTTAGTGAGCCTTCTCTCATCGTTCATTGTAACATCACCTCAATGATATATTACTCAATATTTTCACCACAGTTCAGTATCTACTCATATGATTCACTAGTTACACACCTTAAAGGACTAGTGTGTAGCATTTAGTGGCATCTAGACTAACGAAAACTACGAACGTCATAAACGTCCGAGTTTTATTTTGATAGTTCTGACCGGATACGTAATCACGCACTGCGTCTGCCTTGACCGTGGCCTGTCATCTGACTCTTTTCCTGTAGGGAGAGAAAAAGTTTTGAAACCCCACCCTCTGTACGGACTGTAAGCACAGACGTAGCAGTGGTTCGAGGTCCTGACGAGTCAACGCCGACCGAGGTAGAGGAGCGCGAGCAGGAGTTCTCATGGAGTCCGTGCGCTGTTTGGACACCGACTGTAACAACAAGACCACCGAGCCGGACCAGGCCACGCGCTCAACTCCCACCAGGAACTAACGGGATTAGTTTTTACTGCGCTGTTTCTCTGTGAACAGGAAAGTCGGGCAGGTTTGGATAGCTCTTCCTGTTACAAAGTCGGCGGTTTCTAGGTTTTTATATGTTGTGATAAAGCCCCGCTCGTTGCGTGCTTTCTCATAAGAGCGCGGGTATGGATACTCTCGCGCAAAGGGATGCGGGATTTCCTGCGGTAGCGCCGCAAAGTTGCGGTCAGACGCCGTTATTGGAGAATTGGGTTTAATCATGCGAACTGGTCAGCCCTGAAACTTGTCGTAAAACACTGGTTGGCTGGACTGAATGCTCCTTTCCTGCTATTCTTCTCCGCTTCTCCGCGCTTCCTGCTTGTGGTGGCCACTGCACTTAATGGCTAAAAATACATAAAACTTCAAAATGGACTGCTTAATGTAGTGGGGAGCTTAAGTTTTTGTGGAGTTGCAGTTGCAACACTTGGAAGTATTTTACGACAGGCTTTGGACACTTTTTATTTTTGTCCACTTTTCAAAATCAGAACTCAACAGATGGCAAGCCTGAATGAGGGAAGAGGAGAGCTAATTTACCCATAATGAGGTGATTCAAGAGCCTCTTAAATACAGGCCGGTGGAATGATATTGTGCCCAAACCATGTTTTGGGAAACCACATCACTTGAACAGAGAGAAACTCAGTGGAGGCACTGCTGCCGTTCTGAGCTTTGAGACACTTAATCAAAACTACAGCAATCTCTTGACTCATTCTGCATTTTCATTTTCTTGCATTTAATGTCAAGACGAATGAAAGACACTTGCCACTCAGTTATCTTTGAATCCTCTCCGGTAGCCCACTTGTTGGTGAAACTTTTGAACACATTTCACTGGTCCCTGATGAACCAACAAGAAAGACAGGAAAGGGAGCGAGGCGCAATAAAGTACTCCTTTGTACTTTATTTTCAAACCCTTGGGGTGCAAAATCAGATCCAGTCAAAACATCTGCTTGAGGCTCCATGGAGCCGCTGAAGAACATATTCAGTCGTGGCCCGCTGTCGAACTGGAAAAATTTGGAACAGTCACAAAAAGGGAACTTCACCAACCCCGTGTGGACGGCCTTGTTCGACTACGAGGCGTCCTGTAAAGATGAGCTCACCTTGCGCAAAGGTGACCTGGTGGAAGTCCTGTCTCTGGACTCTGAGATATCAGGGGACGAGGGCTGGTGGGCTGGTAAGGTCAACAACAAGGTGGGCATCTTCCCATCCAACTACGGCTCCTTCAAGCCAAATGGATACGGGAAGCTTCCTGGCAGCGGCGTGGTGGGTGAGCTCGGCCCGGCTGTGGTGGGTGAGCTCGAACCCAAGGAGGTGGACTTCCGGGAGCTCAGCCTGGAGGAGGTCATCGGGGTCGGAGGCTTTGGAAAGGTGTATCGCGGTACATGGAGAAACGGGCTGGTGGCCGTGAAGGCCGCCCGGCAAGACCCGGATGAGGACATCAGCGTGACGGCGCAGAACGTCAGGCAGGAGGCCCGTTTGTTCGCCATGCTCACTCACCCGAACATCATTGCCCTGAAAGGTGTGTGCCTACAGGAGCCCAACCTGTGCCTCATCATGGAGTACGCCTCAGGTGGCCCGCTGAGCCGGGCGCTGGCGGGGCGTCGCATTCCGCCCCACGTTCTGGTCAACTGGGCCGTGCAGATAGCCAGAGGGATGTTGTACCTGCACAGCGAGGCCATCGTCCCCGTCATCCATCGGGATCTCAAGTCCAACAACAGTAAGTCCTTCAAGCCTGCGAGTCATTCATCAATCAAACACAGTCCAGCCCCGCTCCGTCAGTGCTAGATTGATGAACACAAAGGGTACAGACATATTCACTGGCCCCTCTGTGTGACAGTGTGCCCCGTGGCAGTGATGGAACATGGTGTACTACTGTATATAAAGCTGCTAAAGTCTTCTCTTCTAGTGTTTACAAGGCTATATCTAGAACAAAGCCGACCCTTTTAACCCAACATACTGTAATTCCTGTGCTCTTGTACAATTATTAACCCAAAACATCTCAGCCAGTAGTCTGGGAAACTGAACCGTCTCTCTACTTCAGATTCTGACATGACAAAGCACTAAGAAATAAGATAAGCTGTACAACAACACATCTTTTTGGACCGTAGCCAAGTCATGTGATCCCCTAAAAGGTAGGCCAAGGCTACAGAGGCTGAAAGGCATGCAAATATGTGTTGTTGATAGGACAAAATGCCATGCCATGCTATGCTAGCAAAGGTCAGGAATTCGAGAGGAAGCTTTCCGTCACAACTCACACTTTGGACTTTGATGCCACCCAGGGGCAGCGGGAAAGCTTTGCGTCAGTGTTTCGGGCCCTCGCGGCAGACACATACGCATTGGACCTTGTCATTAAGGCCGCACTGCAGAGAGATGTATCGCTGATAAAGCTCTCTGTCCCCCCTTTTGAAGCAGAAAAAGTGCTTTTCTCAGCTCTAACAGTGCTTTAAACTAACCTAAACACTGAGCCACCTGACTTTCACAGCAGCCTCAGCCTCTGTTATTATCATTCTTGTGATGCAGCATATAATCCCTGGCAGCTCTGCGGTTGTATCTGTTGCGCTCCAGAAGATTTTCCCTCGGCTCATCCTGTCTGTTACTGCAGATCCCGATCGCCAGAATACACCAAAATAGAAAGAGATCATGGCTTCTCCTTGTTTAACAGGGAACGACTGACACCACAAAACAGTACTGTAGGTTCTGGGAACATGACCTTGTTTAGGAGCACTAAGAAGGTTAACTCCCTTGATCTTCGGTTTGTTTTAAGCAAAGGATCCTTATTCAGAACATCCCAAGAATATCGTTCTCCCTGACTCCTTTGAGTTTTTCCGTCTTTTTCGCTTTTTAATGAGCACCAAATTGACCATCAGCCATTCCTCTCCCCCCTCCAGCCTTCAGCATCTCCTCACACCCTGTTCTACCCTTCACTTATCTTCACCCCCTTGTCAGGTACTTTCCCGGTAAGACCTCTCCGCAGGAAAACCTTCTCCTGTGGCGCAAAAGAAAGTGGAGTTATGTTAATATAGTGTTTGTATATGAGGCAGGCCAAACTCAACACAATCCCTCTCTCTGTGCGCCGGGAGATCATATCGCTCTCCTGCCTCCTCCTGCCTCTTGCTATTTTAATTCTTCTCTGAATCTTTGTCCCTGGCCTGCCCCTGCATGTCTCCGTACAGCCATAGCCCTGTTGTGCCACTGAGCAATATCCTGTTGTGATGGTGGAGGGGGTAGAGGGGAGGGGGATGAGAGCACTGGGGAAGGGAGGTGGGGGTGGGTGGGTGGGTGTCGACACTGTCAGTTTGACAATAATGTGGCGCGCAGTAAGTGCTGACAGGTTTAACGCACAGGTGCAAGAGCATCTCAACATTAGGGGGGTTTTAAAGGGAAAATGCACCCTAAAAAAAATCTGCCTTATGACGGGGCGGTTAGTGTTGACAGTACATAATGTTCCTAAGCATCAATGGTAAACCTCGGATTAAAGTGTCAGTTCCTCAGAATAATGGTGCAAGTTCTTCTTTCTAGAGCTGCCATTTTGGGCTTGCACTCTGCAATCACACAGGGAGAAATCTGTCAAAGACGAAGCGGAGAGATCCTATTTCCAACCGTAGCCTCAGTTGGACCATAATGCAATTGGAGATGTATAAAACATTGAGTATAGTATAACAGGGAGGTTTAAGGAGAAATAATTACCCCCAAAACAAAAAAAAAAACTTCCTTTATGATGATGTTATGCTAAAAGATCTTTTACCACCTCACCAGAACATTAGGTGAAAGAAGTGACCACCAGCACGTTATTAAAAAACACTTTTAAGAGAAGATTAGTTTTGAGCATTAGAGCATTAGGGCCAGCTGCTGCAGTGATGGATTAGAATGAATAGTCATTATAAACAGGAGCTAAATGTTGCAGTTGTAGCTAATAACCAGCGGAGCGCTTTGGCCTGTTGGGAAGATGCTGATTAAACAGGATCATTGAAGAAAGTGCACGGTGGGGCGCCTGGGTCGAGGCCAGGGGCCATAACTGGAATTCCTCAGGAAAGTAAATACAGAACAGAGAGTAGAGGAGCCTCTTTCTCTCACTATTGTGTCTGTATATCTGGGCTTGAGAGTCTGGGGATGTGTCACACCTTATGCACTCAGTCATTTTCTGTTTTTAGCACACTGGTGTTTTAGTATCTTGTGGTTATCTAAATGAGGTTTCAGGGCTTCACCACTCTGTAAGCCATACAGTTCTGCAGCAGACAGTGATTCCTTTAAAAGCCCAACTGAAAATAAATTGCACGTTTTTTTTTCTGCTGCATCGTACAGATCTGCTCTGTGAATTGTATGATGTGCCGGGGTTCGAGGAAATATTATCTACTTTAAAAGGAAGCATTTGTACTTTATGGTATTTTTGTTTCACAAGCATTCAGGGGTCAGAATGCTGCTCTTTATATCAAGTCATTTTCACCCCAGTGGTTAACAGACAGCCAGTGTCAATAGGTCAGAAACCTCAGACTTTGACCCGTGACCCACATTAGCTTTGTGGCTAATGACTATTTCTTATCTATCTATGTCTTGCAAAACACCTTGGCATGCTGGACAAGCTTGCAGACAAACATCAGGGGAAACTGCACTGTTTGCATGTTAGATAGCTCATTACCTTGTCAGCTATAGCATATTAAACAGCTTAAAGCAGTCAAGGTGGGTCAGTATAGCTGCTATAAGATGCTGTGGTTCTTCTCACTACCACTGCTTCTGCAATATCCAAACTGCAGGAGCTGCAGTGTTTTGATAAAGGTAAAATGTGCACTGTAGTAAAGTACTGTAGTGCTGCAGAGATGTTCTGGCCCTATAAATCTTGTCAAATATCACATTATCATGATTTGAATAGCTTTTTTCATTGAAAATGATCTTTCCCACTTATCATGAATCATATGGCGATTGTAATGTCCGTCAAAATAATGCAATATGGTTTTTTATACTATATTGTGCAGCTGTAGTTACCAGCAGAGATTATTTACGTTGTGTCTCTGTCTCCCTGCTGGCTCATCTGTCAAACTACAGTGGCCACAAAACACACAACTGTTTGACTTGTCCCTTCTGGGCTTCTGTAGAAACATGGCTGTTCAACATGGCAGACTAGTTCTAAGGTATAATTTTTTTTTTCTAATTTTCAGGTTATTATACACTAATGAAAACATACCTATGAATATTATATTCCATTTCTGACAATAGATCCTCCTAAATGTTACACACTGGACCTTTACAGCAGCAGTTGATTTTTTGTTTTGGCCACTAGGGGTGCAGTGGAATAACACGTTAACACAACATTGACATTGTTATGGATAACGCCTTGGCATACAGTTGCTTATGTACACCTTCAGCGAATAGGGAGCAACATTAGTATTCGTGTGGAGGGACGTCTCTTGGTCATCTGGTCAATATCAGGCCAATGCTCACTTTTCTGTTAGCTCCTTTTTGGTCTCCACCCTCTCTTGACTAAAATATGTGGCTGTTAGCTGATAAAGCGTCCACTATGTTCAGCAGCTAGTTGCTCACTTAGTTTGTCTGTCGTTTATTGCTCGATACGTAGTACAGTACAAACGTTTTGACTGAAAACATCTGCCTGCTGCACCTGGAAGTAAGGTTGATGAGACAAGAATCATAAAACCAAAACAATGAGCTCAAAGACGCTGCAATGCTAAGTAGAGTTGCCGGGAACTGCAGAGTTGTGTGATAATTCTCTGTGGATTCATAACTACCATCGTCGCCTTTCTAACTACACACAGTCATTTGATCCATTGTTTATATAAAAATATAGATTGGTGCTGCTTTAAGTTCTCTGTAATCAAAGTGACCATTTTCTTGCTGCAGCCACAGTAAGACTGTGTCAGTAACAGCCTTCGAAAGCTCATTCAGTCCAACTGTCGTCCTTACGCTGTCAGTTATCTGCACAAAGCCTTCATAGACCCAAAAACAGCTATAGGCATCACCGCACGCCATAAAACTCTGCAGAGGCTTTAGTTAGAACTGGTGGGGAAAGAGCCAAGCTAAGCACTTGCTGGGCTCGAACTCACAGGCTTTTTTTTTTTTTTAGGAAGAAGCCACAGTTAGATCTTGGATCAACATGTCATCTTTTTTTTTCCACGAGTGGACAAGCATCTGATACATCCCTCTACCGGCATGTTTTCATTCAGCCCCCCTCCAGTGCCCCACACTGCAGCGCACTCAAAACATCCCCTGTGTGTGTGTGTCTGAGTGCCCTGGCGGCTGGGTGTGTGATGTTTGCATGTGTCTGGTGAACTGCACTTAGACACACACCACCATTCCCCTATTCAGCGAGGGGGAATCATGGGGGCAGTTTAGACATTTGAGCTATTTTGTGATTGTACAGCTATTTAGCGTAAGGAATGGGGGTATTTTAAACCTGATAAAGTCTGGACATGCACCTGTGTTTTGTTATGGCAGCCATATTGTCATTTAACATGTGTATTTTAGGTGATAAGCGGGCCAATAACTCAGTTTAGCAGGCCATTGGAGAGAGAGCACCATACGCCATAAAAATCCTATCTACAGATGGAAATTCAGCTGTGCAGAATGCCAGTGAGGCTTGACTTTTGCTGTCAGTTTGCCAGTCAAATCTTTTATTGGCTGCTACACGTACTTCAATTTAGCAGCGGGCTGTCTCGTTCAAAACAGTGCCGTTTTTGGTGGAAGGATAGAAGATATTTTTATTCTTCT